AAGTTTTGCTAATTCCCTATTAATACATAAGAAACGACCTTTTGTGTCAAATTTAATTGACAGGTTTGTTCTTAAAAAAGCCTGTACCCTTAATAGACATAGAAAGACCCAAGAAGATGCACTGCAAAATGATTTAACCGACCGAAAGCTGCTACCTTGACGTGGTGGTCGGGCTTGAACACCGCAATGACCTAATCAAGCTATACTGGCTGAGACTTATGTCTCTTGAGGTTCTACCATGCCAGGCAGGTTGTTTGGATAGCGGTTAAACAAAAAGCAGCTACCTCATCCAATACCATGATCCAAACAAATTCACAAAATTTCATGCCGGATCGGCCGTGGCCCGGATTAACAACGACCGCGCTTCCTGCTGCCGTGTCACAGGGCGGGAGTGATAAGTATGCTACTGAGGCACACCAAACAAAAAAGAACAAACAAAAACAGGCCGCGTGTGACCGGCCTCAAGCAGTTGTCCCCTGGGCTCTGCGGTCACGCAACCAACTTCCACGGTGTGGGCAGCCGGGAAGTAACAATCGCCCTCACAATCCAAAATGCACACAAAACCTCTCTAATCCTCACTTATCTTTGTCTTCATCTTCATCTCTATTACCTTGCCTTCCTTCCACTGATGCAACTCCTCTACTTGATGGCTCCTCACTCCCTCTTCACTCTGTGTCCACTAAAAACGACGAAAGCCAAAAAACCACCACGGATAGTCTCCTAAAGCCACGCCACCAATTTCATATAGGAGCATTTAATGTTAGGACACTTTGCCAAATAGGACAACAAGCATCACTAGCTAAGACCCTGGCATCTCGAGCCATTGATGTATGTTGTGTTTCAGAAACACGCATACAAGACCCAAGTGTGGTTATTCACCTAACCCCACCTGGCCAACAGGATGAATCTTCAAAATTCACCTTGAGGGTGTCAGGAGATGCCACAGCTAGTTCACGAGGATTAGCTGGCGTAGGGATAGCTCTGAGTACTAGGGCAGAAAAGACATTGCTTGACTGGATCCCGGTAGATAGCCGAATGTGTGCTGTCCGTCTGAACGGATCAGTAAGAAGGAGAAAGGACTGCACTACTCGCCGATGCCTTTTCGTAATCTCCGCCTACGCCCCCACTGACTGCAGTTCGGATGAAACGAAGGATGAGTTCTACCAAAAGCTGTCTAGTTTGGTGAGAAAGGCTAAACGCTCAGATATAGTCGTTCTAGCTGGTGACTTTAACGCTCAAGTAGGGAAATTGTGTCAATCTGAGAAGGATGTCGGTGGCACCTATGGAGTTCCGTGCCAGCGAACCGACAACGGTGACCGTCTCCTACAGTTCTGTTCAGATAATCATTTGTTTCTTGTAAGCACTAACTTTAAACACAAGGAGAGACACTGTTTAACCTGGCGACCCCCATCATCAAACCAACGCTGGACACAAATAGACCACATAGCAATAAGCTATCGTTGGCGTGGGTCGGTAGGAGATTGTCGCTCCTTCTGGAACACGTGTGTAGATACCGATCACGCACTGGTCCGGGCTCGTGTGTGCTTACGACTGAACGGACGTAGGAAACAGCTGGCGGTAAAACCATCACGTCCCCAGCTCGATCAGGAAACTAAATCCCTATTTGAGGAAGAACTAGCTAAACGCATATCTGAATTCGACAGCTGTGCTCACCCTGGAGAAGCCTGGAAGAATATTCAGTCAGCTATAGATACAGCTGTAAAAGCTGTGAATAAGGAAAATCCAAAGGTGAGTAAAAACCACTGGATTTCGACTGCCTCATCCGAACTGATAGATGCTAGAAGACTTATTCCGGCGAGCTCCGAATTCAATGAGGAGCGAAAGCTGCACAAAAGGAAACTTACTAAAAGTCTCCGCAAGGACCGTGAACAGTGGTGGGTGACAAAGGCGAAAGAGATGGAAAAAGCATCGGCGATAGGCAACTCTTTAGACTCATCAGAAACGGGTGGGAGAAGGCAATTCATAAGTGAGACTATTTCTGAGAAAAATGGCTCCTTAATTAGCTCTCAGGATAGACGCCTTGAACGCTGGAAAGAACACTTTGAGGAACAATTTAACTTGCCTACAGCCACACTGAACCTCCCCGCCATCCACCACGTACCCGAATGGGATATAGACACTGGTCCGCCGTCTGTAGGTGAGGTTACAAAAGCTATCAGTAATTTGAAACGAGGCAAAGCGGCAGGACCCGACGGAATTATTCCGGAGGTGTTTAAATATGGGGGTGACATACTAGTTTGTAGATTAACTGAGGTACTAGGCAAAGTCTGGGAATCAGAGACAGTACCATCAGACTGGGGTAAGTCACTTATTATACCGATATTCAAGAAGGGAAACAAGTCCTCGTGTGATAATCATAGGGGGATCAGCCTAACGAACATAGTCTCTAAAATCCTAGGCTCAGTAATCATGCATAGACTAAGCAGAACTCGGGAGGAACAGACAAGGGAAAATCAAGCAGGCTTTAGACCAGGTAGAGGGTGCATAGATCATATCTTCACTCTTCGACAGATTCTAGAACATAGACACACTTTTCGGCGTCCAACAATTGTCATATTTCTTGACTTGAAGGCGGCCTTCGACTCCGTGGATCGAAAGGTACTATGGCAATGTCTGACTGTGAAGGGAGTGCCAAGAAAGTACATTGCACTAATCAAGGCACTCTATTCAAACTCACGTAGTCGTGTAAGGGCTTATGGGGAATTGTCATCTGAATTGGTAACAACCAGTGGTGTCCGACAGGGATGTCCACTTTCCCCATTTCTGTTTAACTTCATCATAGATATGCTAATGGAAGTATCCTTAACTGAACGTAGTGACTTAGGAATCGACTTGTTACCAGGGAATAATCTAATGGACTTAGAATATGCAGATGACATAGTCCTGTTAGGGGAGGATGCTGACAAAATGCAGAGTCTTCTGAACACCTTGAGCAGCAATCTTCGTATGTTTGGCATGCGATTCGCCCCTGCAAAATGTAAGATGCTGCTACAGGACTGGACCCGTCAACCCCTAACTTAGTGATAGGGAGTGAAGTGATAGAACATGTTGACCACTTCACCTACTTGGGAAGTTGTATTAGCACCAACGGACTGATTGGCGATGAAATCTCAGCACGGATCCGAAAAGCTCGAGCTGCTTTCGCTGACTTACACCATCTCTGGCGTAGGCGTGACATCCGGTTATCAACCAAGGGACGTGTGTACTGCTCATCAGTTCGCTCCGTCCTTCTCTATGGCTCTGAAACATGGCCAATACGCGTTGAAGACATGAAAAGGTTGACTGCTTTCGATCATAGATGTCTGCGATCTCTGTCTCACGTTAGGTGGTTTAACAAGGTAAGTAATGTTGACGTTAGGCGTAGAGTGTTGGGCAAAGAGGGAAAATCAATCGACGAGGTTATAAAGTTACATAGACTAAGATGGCTAGGTCACGTGCTGCGCATGCCTAACCACCGCCTCCCCCGACGGGCATTGCTAGCTGATATAGGTTCAGGTTGGAAAAGAGCCAGTGGTGGCCAAACAAAAACATGGCATCAATCCATGAAATCCTTGACAGTTAAACTGAGTCAGGTAGGGAGATGCAGACTCCCGGGTTGGGGCCCTCGGGACTCTAGGAATCAATGGCTGGAGACAATAGGTGACATGGCTCAAAATCGTTGTCAATGGCGCAGATGTATTCAGTCTCTGTAATCTTTCATATTCCTTTCTACCATTACCCATTCTGTTTCACTCTTATATTTGTCAAACTCTATTGATTCTCTTCACTCATCTTCTTGTCTACCTTGTGTGCTATTTGGAACGTGGCAACTCGAACTGCTGCACTTCGGTGCCAAGTTCTATGTTGAATTCAGACAGACTTTAAAAGTGGATTGAAGTAATAACGTGCGTGATGAGATCGTTAGTTATATGTCAAGAAAATACTTGACTACGTTAAACAGTCAATAATTTAAAAAGGATCAATCTTACTACTCATGATGTTATAGCTTACATTAGTGACTTTGACTTAAAGATCAGGGATTAATGAATGAATTTAGAACATACGCATACAAGACCGAACGACCAACTGTCAATAACAAACCCTCTAGATTAGTTCAATTAAAGTGCTTTCGGACAAGCTGGTGCGACATGTACAGGAAAGAAAGTGAAACTCATAGACAATAGAGAATTTACACAGCAACTAGGTGGTTGAACAGCAAAATTAATAATGTAATAGTAACTGGAACTTGAACAACATACCGGTTTTATCTTTTTTAACATTTCAATTGAAAAACGTTCCATGCTTCGATGGATGCCGTATATCCACAGAATATACTACTGTATTTAATAGTTCCATTTGAGCTCCCACTGAGGCTTACAATGTATACAAACTGTAAGAGACCAAAGTGCAACGAGATTATTTCTCGGGTGCTAACTAGTGCCAGTAGACAGTGAACCAATCGACATGTGAATTTAGATCACGTTCTACTGAGCAGGAATGCATACTACTATGATCAATTAGCTACTACCTCTAACTAAATAAATCACAGTATGCATTGTTAAACCTAACTCTGAGGAGAAATGTCAAACTAGTTTGTCTCTGAATTCAAGATTGCTATGTGTGAAACCTACTTGAGCTACTCTACTTTTTCGATGGGAAGCTTGCGTATTCACATATCACCTGGAGTTTTTATACATATAAGACGCACCTGACGTGAACCAAGCAAAGATATGCATAAAATCCTGGGCACATTTAAGTTCTCCTTCAACCGACACTAAATTTCAATACAGCGAAATGTTGAGGAAAACAAATGCCCATCGGCTGATAACTCGCATTACTTTTCGAGCCGGAGATTGCCCCAAGAGCTTGTTGTGATCTCCTTAACATGCCATTCATCAAATCTCCGCTTTCTTTATGTGCTACTGCTGAGTAAAATTCATATGATGCCCAAATATAATGCGAATGTTCAATGTGACAAGCGCCATCTACATGCTTAATTCCCGTGGCTTTGTCCGTTGATGAAGAAAGCTTCCTGTTGCTGTATACACATATTTGTTTTATACCACCTCACACTCGCTTCACATATTACTCTTGAGCATTATGCGATAAGAATGAGTGTGTACTAATAGCATTTATAAATATGAGCGACAGTTGTAGCACAATAATAAGGGCCAGAAACAACCTTAGTTTCCTGATAGTAACGACTATTAGTATTCAATGTTATACGACTAACGAAGCACAACCTCGCGTCGCCCAGTGGTGGTATAAGGAGTAAATATATTAAACCACAGACTATTGAGTCTTATATTACGTTAACAATAAGAATCACAAATACATCACAACACTTCTTAACAAATCAGGCTTACTATGTTCGTCCAGACGGGAAAAGTTTTTTTTAACACTGTCAAACGAAAAACTGCAGCTTGCTCATGCCATATGCAAACATAAGAAAGTCATTCAAGAAGTGATATATTAAACGTTTTCTAAGCGAACTAAGATACAATCGTCTATGTACCGACAGCTTATCTACTTAACTGAAGTCCCAGTGCATTACTGGAGCGGACCTCTTGAGAATAGCCGTATTTCCCAGAGATAAAGGTTTTCTTTCATCAATGAAACGGTCAGGAGGAAGGCCAAAATACGCAACACCGATTTCCGGAGCCATCTCATCTAAGGGGGGCAACTTATTCAAGGCTGCTTTCTACAACCAATTAAAATAACGCAGGATTACTTACCATCTTTTCGGCACTCAATTTCATCTTCATACAGGCATCTGAATGACGTTTGGCGTTCTCCAGCTTAAAGAAAACATTGCGGTAATGAAGGCGCTTACCATAATTTTCCCCTGGCTCTGCACTTTCGAGATAGCGCCAGATGTGTCTTTTGGATACTCAACGGAAAGACTCGCATATTGTTTTTTAAACTTCTCTACCAAACCTGGGATAGGAACGACGCTGGCATAATGATCCCAATTCAGTGGCGGTAAGGACTCAGGAAGTGACGATATTCTGAAAAAAATAAACTGATCAGTCCTGTAAGATGCTGTACTTGGAAACAAGGTTATCTGTCTTTGTTTTCAACTCTCGATACTGATCCAACTGGTGTTTTGGGCACTTAGCATAAAACTCAGCCCAATTTACTGTCGAAACTGCTACCCGCTTGGAGGTCATATCTTAAAATGTTGTGTACCCTCAAGGTTACTATTAGCTTAAACAATAAAACTGAATCTATGGCAGTAAACAAGTACTTAGAGTATTAACAGAAAATGAGTGGTTTATTGTCGCCTAGAAGGTGGATGAAATGGAATAGCATGCCTTAACGAGATCAAAGTCAATATAATTTTTCACCATGTATTAAAAATTAGTCGACATCACCTCTGTAGCAGTAAATACTTCCCCAAAATTATTGGCCACAGCACTCATCACTGAACATTGGATGCTGACTCTCACTGTTTAAGTCGACCTGTTTAGCCGAAGGCTTCCGGTCAATTCTTTTTAATTTAATTCTTTTAATTTGATTACAGCTTGATTCCACACAGTACCTTTTTGGTACAAGTATGGAATTCTCAGCATGGATATCGGTAGCCCAAATTTCCCAGGCCGACCATAGATATCAGGTGTGCGTCGGAAGGGGATCGAACCTCGGACCATGTGCATGGTCGGCGAGAGTCCTAACCACTGTGCCACCGACGCACAGTATAGGCATCCAACCGGTAGACAATATTATTTAACATGCTGACACAACACTAGAATAGATGTTACGAAAGCAAGACATCGAAGAACAATTTGAAATAGCCCTAGATGAAGGAATTAATGATAATTATATGATAACGCACTGATCACAGATGATATAAGAAAACTTTGGCTTCAGTAGACTCCAAAAACCAGGTGTTCTGAAAAAGATGTTATCTTATCACACTCTTCATAAAATATTGGAATTATTATCAAGTTAATATGATATAAGGTAAGGAGGCATGGTAGAATTAATAAAAGTCAAGAAAACACAGTCAGATACTTCAAAAAGTATGTATGTAATGTCAAGCATCCGTGCCATTCGGTACTCCGTCGTGTTTCGTTCGTGCACGATCACCAGCCAGCTAAGCATTCATTTAGCTCTACGTTTTGGTCCCGAAATATATCTAGTAATTCGGACGATCAGTTGTGGTCTTTTGTTTCGCCTTTGGTTTACAAGGAACGAATACTATAGATGTTGTTGGTATTAGATCTTGCGTTAGTATTCTCCGTATCATCCGCGAACGGCAATACCGTCAGCCACTAAACTTCATTTCTCCACATTACGATTCTCAATTTTAGGTGCCATCAGATATGATGCTGTTTCTTCGTGCCTTTACTGTAACCGGTAATTAATTATATCTAACCTGCCGTCTGAGGAAGATTATTATGTGCGTCAGTGGCAAAGTGGTTAGGACACTCGCCGACCATGCACATGATCCGAGGTTCGATCCCACACCGACGCACACCTAATATCAATGGTCGGCCTACAAAATTTGGGCTACAGATATCCATGCTGAAAATTCCATACTTGTACCAAAATTACAGTGTGGAATGAAGCTGTTATCAAAAATAAAATAATAGCATTGTTTATTTAGTTCCTAGAGGAACATACGGCTTCAGCCGCACGCCTCCATTGCTTTCGGTTCTCCGCCGACGTTTTCGCCTGTCTCCACGTCTTCCAACATGCTTTCATCGCCTCTTCACATGACCCCCTTTATGCAACCCTCGCACTGGTGACCAAATCACCGCCTCCCATCACGGCTCCACTCGAGCTATTGCCTGGTCTTTGATGTCATTTGATGGTTTCCTCAGAGCATGGCCAATCCACCTCCATTTCTTTCTGCCGCTTTGTTGCACAGCAGGTTCCTGTTGAGTTGGTTCGCTCTCAGAGATGCTTGTTGCTGGTTTTTTGACCATCTGATCTTGAGTAGTGAGCGAAGACAGATGTTGATCAAGGTCTGTGGTTTATTTGAGGTGCTGTTTATGACGTGCTGGCCAAGCCTCTGATCCATAAAGTAGCACTGACTTCACACTGGAGTTGAAAATCCAGATGTTATTTTTGTTGCTGAGTGCTGTTGACCTCCATACAGACTTGAGAGTTGTGAAAGCTTGTCTTGTTCTTCCGATTCTTGCTTTGATATCCTCGTCAGTTTGGTCCGCCTGTAGTTGAAAAGATGCTTCCCACGTAGTAAAGTGAAGGAGGTTGCTTCTTTCAGGTTCCTCCCATTTATGCTGGCGGATTGTTGTCTGTTGTTGCTGCTGTTGATGTTGGCCAGGAATCTTCATCACCTCTGTTTTCTCTATGTTCATATGAAGGAAAATCTATCTTTGATGCTTGTTTTGCCAACTTGTTTCTTTTCACTTGCATTTTCTCCAGTTTGTGGGAAATCAGACATATATCATCGGCGAAATCCAGATCCTCCAAGTGTTCTGTGTGAGTTCCTTTGATGCCTGTTTCCTTACTGCTCGCTGTCTGTCGTAATATCCAGTCTACTGCAATCAGGAAAATCAGTGGAAATAGTAGGCAGCCTTGCGTCACCCCCGCCCTCACTTCGAAGGCTTCCGTAAGTTTCCCGTTGTGGATTACTTGGTATGCAGCATTGTCGTACAACTAACTGTTGGATGAGATGTATAATTGTCGATGGGACCCCACAGTAGTAGCGAAGTAGTTGCCAAATGACCTCTCGATCGATGCTGTCGCAGGCCTTTTCAAAGTCGATGAAGTTGAGATAGTGAGGTGACTGCCATTCCAAGCTCTGATAAATGATGATCCATAGTGTGGTGATTTGATCAATACATGACTTGTTTCTCCTGAATCCAGCCTGTTCCGGTCCAAGTTTTTTCATCCAGGGCTTGTTTGATTCTCTCCAGGATGATGCGGCTTAGTATTTTGCTTGGGATGGGCAGGAGCACAATACCGCGCCTTACACTGACTTGAGTCTCCTTTCTTTGGCAGTTTGAATAAGTAGTCATTCTTCCAGTCCGCAGACACTTTGAACTCTTTCCGCGCCTTCTTCAGTAGTGTCGTTGTCAAGGTTATTATCCCTAAGTTCCTATTGTTACGAAGACGCTCCGCACCGATAAGCATTATGTACTTTCTCCGACTTTAACTCCAAATCACCAGTACTGTGAGAAAAAAGTTATATTGTTTGGTAATTATAGCGGAGAATAATACTACTTTTATTCGTTTTCTTTCGTCTTCGTCGAACTTTTGCACGATGGAACCATTCACGCCTTCGAGTTGCCCACCAATGGCGACCAAGCTCAATGAACCAACGTTCAATGTTCACTTCTATTGGCAGGTGTCATCAAATCCGCTGATATCTCTGAGTCTATTTAAATTCTTCTGCTAGGATTTCTTCTAATCCTGCTGCTTTTTTTAGTTTTCAACATCTTTATCGCCTTCAGGATTTTTGTTCTCGTCTGAAGGTTGATGTCCGCTGGTAGTTCTGCTTCCGCTGGTAGTATTCTTGGTTGCGTTGTAGGTGGCAGTCGGTTTAGAAGTCTTTTGAAGTGTTCAGCCCATTTCCTTTGCTCTACTCTTTTGGTGATTGACTTTCCATTGTCACCCTTTACTGACTTAAACTGTGCCAAACTTTTGCCCGGTAGGTGCCTGGTTGCTCGGTAAAGTGTGGCGAGGTCTCCTTTGCCTACAGCTTGTTCTGCTTCACATGCCATGGCTTCACAATATTTTCTCTTATCTTCTCTGGCGCTTTTCTTTGCTCTTTTGTCCAGTATATTTTAGCTCGCATTCAACTTCTGTTTTTGTTGCTCGTCGATGCACTGGAAAATCTTTTGCTTCACCATCTTCCCCTCTTCTATCAGTCTCCATGTGTGCGTGTTGAAACACTGTTTGTCCTGTCTCTTTTTTCTGCCTAGAAAATCCATGCAGGTTTGACTGCACACCGCTTTCAGGCTGTTCCAGTGCTTTTCAACGATGGTTTCTTCGCTAGCGTTAATTTGTGTCTCAGCCTTTTCCTTTGTGGTCGCGGTAAATACGTCCTTTATAGCCTGATCCTTCAGTTCTTGTGTATTAATCTTGGCTTGTGGTCTGTCTGCAGCTCCTGCTTCTTTGAAAGTTTCTAATTTGATTTGGAGTGTTCTTTGTACGAGATAGTGGTCTGAGCCAACGTCTGCTGCTCTTCTAACTCTTGTATCCAATAAGCTTCATTTCCACTTCATTGAACAGCATTGAGATGAAGTCAGTTTGGCTTTTGGGTCACCCGTCTGGTGACACCCATGTAACCTTGTAGATATCCTTGTGCTTGTATACGCTGCCGCTAATCACTATTTCATTGAGGGCGCAAAAGTCAGCGAACAGTTTTCCATTTTCATTCATTTCTACGAGAGCTTCTCTACTCATGATGAGTTCTCTTTCTGTGTTGTCTGGTCCCAGTTTGGCGTTCATATCTCCCATTAGTATTTCAGTGTCACCGACTGGAGTATTGTCCATTGTTGCCTGTAGTTGTCTGTAGAATTCTTCTTTCTGTTCGAGTTCTGCGTTGTTTGTAGCATTAAATAACTTACACTTTCCTTCTTTTGGAGTTGAACCTGGTGGTCATTACTCTGGGTGACATCGCCTCCCATTGTATGACGGCCTTCGCTTTCCTTGGTGACATCATGATAGCCAACGGTCGGCTTGCATGTTAGAGGTAGCATTGAGCTATTTTAACAGGAGTAACTATCTCAACGATTAATTAGTATAGCTGGAGTTAAGCAACACAAAAGTCTTTTGGTCATTTCAATTGACGTCATCTGCTCAAATGCTCTTTGATTTTATCCCGGCGGTTCCACTTTTCTTGCTAGACTGGAAGAAGGTCACACAAACTGATCACTACAACCGAGATCAGTGTTGATCTGCGAGTTCAGATAGAAGTGTCAGAAACTAATTTCACTGACTTTCCCATGGCCCTCTCACAACCCTACTCAAATATTTCGCTGTGCTGGAAATCCGTGTAGTCAGAAATCATGCTATTCCGGAGTAAAACTGTACTATTCGGACGTCTACATGTCTTATGCAGTGATGGTGCTAAGTGAAGGACCCCAGGGCAAATTCAACCTTTGGCTGCTTTTATGAGCGCATTCAGCCCTACTAACCGATTTAAGTTACTTCAGCTAACATTTGTGTTGCTAACTTATATGAAATTTATAATCATACTGGGCGAAATTCATCCCGAACTCGCACAAATGGATTACAATCTATCCCCTGAGAATCGATAGTGAACCGGAACTTATTCTGTCTAGAGAAAGTTCCAGAGGAGCCTGTTACACACAATGACTGAGGGACCTGAAACATGCCTGCCTTTTGTTCACAACCGGAGGTAACATTGTCTACTGTTATGCAACCGTGTATTCTCTGTAGCCCTGCATGTTAGTCACACTTTCCTCTGATATCT